GGCGGCCTCCCTTCAGCCTGTGACCGGGACCCAGAGGCTGAAGCCAACTCGATACAGTTGGGCCCCGGGCAATGCAGTTGCGCCCCTCTCATCAAGGCCTGTGGCCAGATTCAGATAGTGGGCCGATTTCCCTTTGGCATTTTCGGCCTCTCTACCCAGCATGCATTGTCGGCCTCACGTTCGAGTGCCCAGGGCCTAACTAACTCAGAGGCCCTGGGCATTTCAGCATTTGCTGAAATCCGAGACTCGGTGCACACCAACCAACTGGCGTGCTGCAACTGTATGAACCCCACTTCGTGAAATGTTGGCACAGAGGGCTCTTGTTGATTCGTTGGCCTGCCTTCACTTAGGGCGGGCACGAGGCTTGCTGGGGCCTTAGCCCAGAACATGTACATCATGGCAAGGCCCCTACTTGAGGGCTCAATCCTCACACATGGTATGGTACGGGTTATATTTTTTTTTCCCCGTTTCGTTATTTGTTTGTTGTTCGACCTTTAGAGATCCATTTCGGGCTGCTGGTTCTGAAACCTGTCCGTTTGCATGTCATGCAGCATATGGGGCGAAAATTCTCTACACCCCAAGGCCTGTTTTGGCCCACTTCATAGTGCCCTCCCCACCTCCTACCAGGGACACCCTGACCCTCTTTTTCATGGCGCGTATACGGCGGCAAGTCTTGGAGGAAGGGGGGTGGTCCTTTAATGGGGCAAAGGCTTTCAAACTGACCTATGCCTCAGGCTCAGGGATTCACTGAACTGCAATTGGAGCAGATACTAAGAATGCTTCTGCCCTGTATCTCAACCCGGTTTGTGCTCCCGTCTTCCGCTGAACACAATGCACCCTGATATCGAATGCATTGAAGATATCTTTCCGGTTCGATGCAGCCAAAATGAGATGGTACGACGGTAGTGTATCACAGTGATAGCTCTCTTACGCTTGGCCCTCCCGTTGTCATGGCTGGCACAATCTGGCAGTCATGGTTGAATTTGCTTGACCTATACGAAGTCTCTCTGCACTGAGAGCCACAAATTTGCGCCTCCAGGTTATGGGTTTCTAGGCTGGGCATGGCCATAAGGTCAGCTTTTTTTTTATTAGGAGGAAGCATCTAAAAAAAATAAATAAAAAAAGGTCCGTATGGGCCTTGCTGCATATCCATTCTGGGGCGCGTCAGTCCGGTTCCAATTCCACCACCAAGTCAAGAGAATTACAAACAGAACACACACACACACTCCTTCCCTTGATGGTAGTAAGGCCCGAGGGACGGCATCGATTACTTCCGACGGGACGGATGTAACCCCCCTCACCTCTGCCTGAGTTAGCCTGAGCTACTCAATTCCTGATCCTAGTCGCTAATCCACTTCTCGGTTACTCTGGAACCTGTAGCTTGTTTGATTGGGCGTCGTTCATCCTGTTCCTCCCAGCTCCGTTGGAGAAGGAAAATCGTTCATCCTGTTCCTCTCAGCTCCATTGGAGAAGGAAAGCATCTCGCAGAGACAAAAGGGAAAACCAAAAGTTGGAGCTGGTATGTGAAAGTGTATGTGGAATGTTTTTTTTTTTTTTTTTTGGGGGGGGGGGGGGCATAAAATATCTCATACTGACTCACAGTTGCAACGGGTAAGGGACAGGGCCCATTGGTGCGATGTTGATGCTTGGAAAGCATGAACCTGGCAAGAATAGAGGCAAGGTTAGTGCTTTTGCAATTGACTTACCATGAAGGCACGGGTGCACAGCCCGTAGTTTGTATGCTTGTGAGTGATGAACAAGGTATCATCGTCCAGGCTCAAAAGCAGGACCACTGCATCAAAAAACAAAACAAGGGCTAAAATCAAATCCAACGACCTGCAAAAACCATGAACAGAGAGGTGCATAATAAGTGGGAGTTACGCGCGGATGTGTATGTTGTCATGTTCGCTATGCATGTTCCCACGAAAAAAGCAAGACTGTGCCGCATTGTTTTGTCAGCCTGTCGCAGGCTGTGTGTGTGTGTGTGTGTGTGTGTGTGTGTGTGTGTGTGTGTGTGTGTGTGTGAGAGAGAGAGAGAGAGAGAGAGAGAGAGAGAGAGAGAGAGAGAGAGAGAGAGAGAGAG